GTTTTTTTATTCATTTCTAGCTGTTAGTTCTGGGAATTTTGTTGCATTTCCTTTTTATCTTTTATCTGTGTTCGACATGATTGTATAATTTTTTGCCGGTTTAATTAACATTTTTAGTGTACAGCGCCTTGTTTGGTTGTAATGCCTTATTGAATGTGCTTTATAAATAAAATTGGATTGGATTGGATTGGATAGTCAAGCCTAGAAATTACAAAGGCATGCAGTACCCGCTCCAGGTGGGCTCTCGGCAGCATATGCTTGATTTTTGCAAGGCGTCTCAGATGAAAGAAACCCGGATCACAGAATTGATGTGAGCATCAAATTTAAGTCATGCATCAAGTTTCACCCCCAAACTGGTAACAACTGGTTTTGAGTAGGGAGAAAGAGGGCCAAGATCAACATAACAATCCACATTCCTGCTGTTGGGTTGAAAAACAATGAGCTCTGTCTTTCCCTCATACAGATGTAGATAGTTGGCCATTAGCCAAGACTTTACCTCATTAATACAGGACACAAAGGACTGGATAGAGTGACCTTTCTCCTGACACAATGGAGAGTAAATATGGCAATCGTCAGCATAGAGATGGAATGATAGGCCATGTTTACGAAAGACTGACCCCAGAGGTAGCAGATAAATGGCAAACAAAAGAGGACCAAGGATCGATCCCTGCGGGACCCCCCAGCGGAGCCCATCCCAAGATGAAAAAACATCACTCAGTTTAACGCAGAATGTCCTGTTGTGGAGATACGATCTAAACCAATCCAGAGCAGACCCTTTGATCCCAACCCATCGTTCCAAGCGATCGAGTAGAATCGCGTGGTCGACTGTGTTGAAGGCTGCTGTCAAATCTAACAACAGAAGCACCACAGAAGTACCCTGATAGATAGATGTCATTTAGGACCCTCAGTAGAGCTGACTCTGTGCTATGGCCAGACCTGAACCCTGATTGAAAAACCTCGAACAGATCAGAGTCAGCTAAATGTGAGACCAGCTGCAGATAAACGACTTTCTCCGGCAGTTTTGATGTAAAAGGCAGGGTAGAGATAGGCCTGTAATTTACGATCACAGAGACATCAGCACCAAGGAGCTTCTCTAGCCAATCAAAGGCGGGAAAGACGGGATCTTCCCTGGACATCCTAGAATTCCAAACAACACCTCCGGCTCTGCAGTGATGCCCTTCTCCACCGGAAGAAGCTTACCACAGACATATCTAAAGGACATACTCTAACCCTAGTTACCCTAATATAGGGTTAGGGTTACCCTAGTTAGGGTTACCGTAGTATAGGTTTGGCGTTACCCTAATATGGGGCTAGGGTTACCCTAGTATAGGGTTAGGGTTACCCTAGGGTTAGGGTTACTGTAGTATAGGGTTGGGGTTACCCTAGTATAGGGTTAGGGTTAGATAGAATACTGATATTTGCGGCTCTGCCCATTCCTCTTTTCATCTTTGAGCAGCTTCCTCCATGCCTTCCAGCACCTCCTCTTCCTCTTTATGACCCAGCTTCTCTTTTTCAGAGGGAGGATTGATCCATCACATCATCATCAAAGTCCATGCTGTGGTGTCAGACTCCAGCTGTGAGTCTCAGCTGAGCTGCTGGACATTTATCGTTGTCATTCTTCTTTATACATAAAAATCAACCCAACTCCTCAGAAATGAGCCTTTCTGTCATTTTCCTTCTCAGATTACGGCTCTTCATGGCAGCTCCTAATCACAGTTTTCACAACTTCTGACTAAAAAGGCTGTTCATTTAGTTTAGTAAAATAACATTCAAAAACTGGTGTAGTTTATAATCTCCATTTTACACATGAATTGAAACCAAAACGTAAGGAGGCTGAGTCTCGCTGCGACGAGGTCCCAAATCAGACCTGTTGAAAAGGGTTAGGGCTAAATATTTGTGACTGTGTGATGGACATACACGACGTAACATGTATTTGTGAAGTGGAATGAATCTGCACTATTATACAATGACATGATGTAAAAATGTGATTTCCTGGGTTGGTTTTATATTCGGTCTCTCACAGCTGACCTGTTGAAAACTACAGACCTCTCATCTTTTAAAGCGTAGGACAGCTCTCTCAATCACTGCCTGCCAAACCTTTTTAGCCTTTCAGATGTTGTTTCTGCAGCTGGGCCTGGATGCTACTCACGTCTCTGGGGGGATCTTCATCTGAGCTTCAGCCATAATCCACAGACAGAAATATCCAAGAATCCTCAAAACGTTCCTCATTGCCAAAGCCCCTCCTTTCATCCTGCGATCTCAACGGGCCAAAGCTAAAGATGTCTTTAGGTTCTTAAGTTCAGATTCTTAAAATTAGAGCAGAAGTTCAAGAGGACAAAAAAGACGCAATGGCATGGATAGCTCAGGTTAGTTGCAGACAAAAGCTGGCATAGTCCATCAGCTTTCTGTATTAAATGTTCATTTATGCTGATTTAATCCCCAATAAAGTCCTGAAAGCCTCAAAGCGATCTGTTGGTGACCTCTATGGGTTCTTCAGTTCTCATAAAACAAAAGGCTGGTTCTAATTATCCACTCTGATGATTACAGGAGTTGTAAATGGACTTCTCTGCTCCACCTGTTGCCCAGTTTGAGATATAATCCACCTGTTACACATAGAAGACACAAGCAGGAAGGATTGGCTCTGTGGACTGGATGAAGACAGTTTATTGAAAGAGGATTAGGGAGATCTCTGGAGAAGAGTTCTTTTCCAGCCAATCAGAGGAGGATAAAACCCTGTAGCTAAGTTTAGCTGTGCTGTGAGAAGGGCCAGCCCACACCAACTCAGTTAATGAGCTAATGGGCCATTCCCATCTGTACTGGGTCGACCCAGGCCAGGTAGCCCAAGTCGGCCCCAGCCTGGCCCGGTTGATTCCACACATCCTTGTCTTAAGCCCATGTGGGCTGATTCTACCCACCAATCAGAGGCTTGCTCTAATGGAAGGTGTGAATTTGCTGTCAGCAGTGGGTGTGTTGGCCCTGGTCGGCCTGAAGCAGACCCCCTAGAGAAGAGGGCTGAGAATGAGCCTTGGTTGGCCCGGAAAAATACCAGGCCACCCAGATATGTAAACAACCTACGCTATCCGGCCCGGGCCGACCCGGTACAGCTGGGAATGGCCCATTAGTGTTTCAACTGTACCAACAATTCTCTTGTATTTGGTACAAATTCCTGTCTCAGACTTTTTTCTGACACTTTTAAAACCAGTTGTAGGCCTTGATGTTACACTTTGGTGTTTCAACACTGGGATTTTATTGGTGTGTTGCTCAAGCATGATGTTAGCATGACTCAGCCTGTAGCACGCCATAAGAACTGAGCTCAGAACATAAAAGAAGGAAGGCTGGTCTGTGCTGATCTGTAAACATACTGCTGCAGGGCAGCGTCCAGGGGCTGAAGTGGCAAACTGTGTCTCCTGCTCACAAAGGGTGGAGGGGCTGAGAGGCTTTCATTCACCCTCTAAACGGTCAATTTAGCTCATACTGGCTCAAGGAAGCAAGAGAATGCAGACGCCGCCACAATAAAGATAAGCTCAAAGAAAACCAGTCAAGTTACCAAACAAATTGTGTCGACCAGGATCAAAGCTCACTCGAGAAAATTTTAGATTGTTTGCTAAACCCACCAGTGCTTGGAATTCCAGATTTCACACCACTGTTCCTTGTAAACACAAACACACACTCGCAGTGTGAAAAACAAGATGGATGCTGTTAGTCATTGCTTTTGTTTTGCATCTCAGATTAGTTGTTTGTGTATTTTGGTGTTGGTTAGATTAGTTTTTGTTATGCTGTAACTTGAAGTGTTCCGTACAAGAAAGAGGTGTTTTGTAGTTAACACTGCCCTCTAGTGGCTACTCACCGTAAATAACACCTAAGGTGTGTGTTTAACCTGCAGTGGTCTCTGGCAGGAACGAATGCCCTGTGAGTCGTCCTCTATCACCTGTATCAGCACAGAGAAGTCAGCTGGAGGACAAAGTAAATTCAGACAACAGGACTTAAAAGTTTTTTCTTTATTTTTAGACATCTCTCCTCTGATTGGCTATCAGCAATGCAACTCGTTGATGTTTTATCTTTATAAATAACACAAGCCTGGAGCCTAGATGGGAGAGTCCATGAATGTTAGTGACCAGTGTTGGGAGTAACACGGTACAAAAGTAATTAACTACTGTAATGCATTGCTTTTTGCTGTAATGTGGTAATGTAAGGCATTACAGGGACAGAAAATGGTAATATTTACTCGGTACAATTGTCAGTAACGCGGTAATTACAATGCATTTTTAAACCCAGAATCAAGATGCGGGTTTCCTAAAAATTCAAATTGCGGGAAGCCTGAAAACCAGTATCCACATATATGACGTCATTTATGGACTCAGCTTTGCGGGCATTCTATGAGCAGAGAGGACGCAGCGGTAATGGCTCAAATACTCCAGCTGCGTCCTGCGTGCGGCCGCTGTTATATTCACAAAATCGCTCCACCAAAACAAAGTAATTCGTTTGCGATCGTTTATATCGGCCCATATTCTCTGGTACTTCATGTAATTTTTAGCTGAGTTCATAATCTGTGCGCCGGTGATTTCAACTCATTGCTGCTGGAGCGCAGCGCGAAGCTTTTATTTATTTATTTTTGTGTTCGGTAGATCCCTTTGGCTGATTAGTTAGAAACTAGGAAATCTAGTTTACAGTTTTTCTAGAAGACGGAGAAAACATGCAGCATGCAGGAAGGTTAGAGAGAAAGGGCAGGATATTATTCACATAAAATCAAGAAAGCAAAACAAAGTGCTTGAAAAGAAAAAAGTAGGTAGATTTATCCCCAATACACATTTTTACCAGTGAAAAGCAATAATATACATAAGCATTTAATATTTATACTAGTGATAGAATCAGATCACCCCAGAAGTCAGTCCCACATCCAGGGCCGTACAAGGCATTTGGGGACCAAGGCAAATATAGGCTTGGAGCCCCCACCACCTCACTCCCTGCTCAGTTAATATAAGATGGCAGCGTGCTGAGAGTACAGATTGTTGTTGCTTTTATTTAATAAACAATCATTTTAAAGCACTGTTATTATATCCGACTGTTTTTAACAGCAATCCTAGCTCAGACACCACATCACTTTCCACATATATGTCATGAGCTCACTGAGCGTCAGATTACCAGATTCATATTGAAGTTGTTTTGGTGAAAGTAACTTAAAGTAATGCAAAAGTGGTGTAATGCCTTACATTTCGAAATCAGTAATATTGTAATGTAATTAATTACTTTAAAATGAGGGTAACAAGTAATAAATAATGCATTACAGTTTTGAAGTAACTTGCCCAACACTGTTAGTGACAGTGTGACGTAGATCTGTCAGGATCTTCTAATCCTAGAGTTTCACCATCTGTTTTCTGTCAGAGGCTAATGCAGGAGATAGGTGTAGGAGACTATTTTCATGTTCAGCCTGCATGAAACACTCAGTGACCCGTTGGAATTGGAGATAAAATTTTTTAAAAGTCAACACGAGTGCCGGTGCCACCTTCGAATTTTAAACTGCACTTAGACACAGAGGGCTGTGGGGGGAAGTGGGGTTGTGTGGTGGCATCAGCTGGCGTGGGCCAGACAATGCCCGCACTGCCCACTCACCACAGCCACAAATACACCTCATCAACACGCACCAACACTGTATTGGAGCAGGCGGAGGGAAACTAGGGGTCTTAGCACACCTCTGTTGTCACTTGGCTTCCCGGGGCTGGAGGCTAGGAGGGGAAGCTGGCCGTCATGTCCCCAACATGGGGGTGGTGGGTTGCTTTGCTCAGCGTTGGGCGGAGGTGCCTGCTCATCAGCACCCCAACAGAAAGGGGCGAACTCTGGGAACGGTGATGGTTGTACCCCATGTGCAGCAGTACCGGGACCAGAGTGAATAGGGTGTGTATGGGGAGCATGAGTGGGTGTCTAGCATTCATTTTTGTAATTCTCAGGCTGTATGTGTGTGTGTAAGCATGAGGGAGGCAGTGTGTGACTGTGTTTGTGTATGGCTGTATATGTCAGGTGAGGTCTTGGACTCCTGCCCTCTCCTGGGACTTCTTGTGCTCCTACACATCTTCGCCTACCCTCCCCCTGCCACGCCTGGTGTGGAGTGTGGTGCCGTGGTCTGCCTGAGTGTTCGCGGCTCCCGGGTCATGGGGTTTATGATTTTTGGCGTCTGCCTGATTGATCCCGGTGGCTGCCTGGTGGGATCTAAGTCCCTGGGCACTGTTGGGTCCCCCGCGGGGCTGGTCGCCCCTGGGTCCCGGGTCGCTGGGTTCCAAGCTCGGCCGGCTAGGGGGTGGGAGGCTGCGGGCGGGCCTGTGGGCTTGCCGCTGATATCCCCCGGGGCAATCCTCTGCGCCTCTCGAGGGGAGCGGGGGCTTTTCTGGTTGCAGTCTCCCTGGGGTCCCTGCGCTCTGGGGCAGCTCCTGGATCTCTGGGACTTGGAGCTCCCTCCATCTCCTACACATCTTTAGGGGGCAGATCTGTGGTCCCTCACACTCTCTATTGGACGCTTTTATAGAGAAACCTTACATATACAAGCGCGTGCGTGTACACACACAGGTGCTCACATGGTGCTCTCATAAGAATGGACTTGGGCACGTTCAATACATGTCTTAAGGCTGTTGGCACAAAATGCACTGTGATTTATTATCGTGTGATAGTTCAGTAAAACAATGTTGATTTTATATTTCCTCATCAAGTTGACAGTGATAGCTTGCTCCTGTTGTATTGTTGTGTGTCCCTTTTCTGCAGTTCTAGAAGCAGACTCTTGTTTATCATTGGTTGTTTATTTTTGTGGACCCCCCCCCCCCTCCCACACACACACACACACACACACACACACCCTTCCTTTTGTCTCTTCCTTTCTATTTCACCTCTGTCTCCGTGTCCGGTCAGAATTATAAAGCATTCAAAAAACAGTAACAATAAAGTTTTAAGTATCAGGCGTGACATTAAAGCAGGAGCTTTGATGCTCCACCTGAGAGTAAATCTGTAAGGCTTGTTACCAGCATTCAGACATTAATTCTGTTTGCTTCACAGCCAGACAGGCTGTGTTTTTTTCTAATGAAGTTGACCTATAAAATAGGTCACAAGCCTTCTCCAGACTCATAAATCCAACTGGTTTTGGACCAGTTGGACAAGCAACCAACCATGTAAAATGTGGTTTCTCCTGGCCCCCACCATGGAGTAGACCTTTCGCTGGAGGCTCCTTCTATAGCTGACACATTTATAATGGTGAACCAAACCAGCAACTACATGAGCAGATGGACCAGTAGAGCCCCCTCCTCAGGTCAAGGGTGTCCATCAGTCCCAGTTTAGTGTCCCAAAGGGACACCCGCCCCACTAATAACTAAATAAAATACAGTCAACGATAAGGAGGGGAGATCAATATAACTAAAGTATCAACAGAGCAAGGGCGGTAGGGAGGGTAAAATAAAAACCAAGAGAACAGAGCCAGTCACCTAAACAAACAAACAAACAAATAGGAGGAAAAGAAATCAAAGGAACATGAGAACTCCCGCCGACACACACATCCGAGCTGGCATACATGAATAATAACAGGGGAAGAGATGGGATGGGAGCTGAGGAGTTCCCGTTACTGGGGATGAAGCTGAAGGACAACAGAAATCTGAAAGGACACGTGGAACGATCCTGGGAGACATGGGACCTAGGACATGACAACGACAAGCTTAGGGTAAAATAACTGACTTTATTTGGCTGATAGAAACTGTTCATGTTCTGACGTGGAGAACAAGAAAGCCTTTCACCTGAGCAGACGCGACTAGATACTCTAGTCTAAAACCCTCCTTCAGCCATCTGGGGGCTAAAGGTGGGACAGCGGAGCTGGCTTTGAGCTGCTGTACAGGTGTTCCCTCAGAAAGACCAGCAGCTTCTTCCAGGAGTCCTCCTGAGCACGAGCATGTCCCAGAGTCTGCCCCCCCCACAGAACCATCACTGCAGACAGCAGAACCAGCACTCAGGTAACAGCATCACCTCTACTCACACACCAAGCAGCAAACGTACTTATCTGACGCGTGGACATGTCTCGAAACTGACTGGAGCGAACGTGTGGAGTATATGGGGGCTCGATCAGGTGACCTGCTTCTGGGTAGGACAGCAGCGTCAGCAGGTGGCTGTTCCCCGCTTTCTCCATCATCTCCTTCATCTGGACAACAGGCAATGAGGTCAGAACCTAATAGGGACCCTTCCCAATGTAACGCTGGATTTTTAAACTTACATCCATCGCTGACTCGTAGGCACACCAGTTCTGATCATCCTCACCAACAATCAGCAGCAGAGGACATTTGATTTGTCCCACCTGTCAGAGACAAACAGCAGCAGCTGTTGGCTACATGTCACCATCACACAAAAGCTGTGATCACTTTCTAAGAGCTGTCATTTTGAAGGATTCCTCCCAAAGTCCTCATCAAAGCACGGGGCTGAGGAAAGAAAACACCTGAGTGCTCTTCTGACGCAGACTGCTGATGCTTCTTAGGTCAGGACCTGTTTGGCGTATGAGGAACCATGAAAGACCAGGCAGAACGTCTCATGCAGCCCTGTTTAGTTCAAACACACATGCTGCGGCTGAATAATGAAACGTCATGAGATCTCTCCCCAACGACACGCAGGAACTAGCAGCGCTAACGAGGGAATACGAGCGACGAGGCAACTTTCACACATTCGTCTGTAATATTAACACGTTTCTCATCAGTGTACTTCCTGAGTAAGTGATGCTTTAGCAGACTGGGGACCTGACATGGATGAACAATCTTTAGTTTTAGTTAAAGTTGGTTTCATCACAACGCCATCACTGATGTGTAACCCTGTGAGCTACTATGACTCAGCAGTGAGGTGTGTTGAAGCAAGGGGTGTGGACCTGAGTCACATGACTTGGACTCCTGTCATTAATTTGACGACTTTAGACTTGACTTGTTTAACATCCAACAGGCGGACTTGAATCAGACTTTTATGTAGCGACTTGGACCTGTTTACTATTTTAGCCTTGTTTGAAATAAATATTATTTCAACATTTTTAAGCCTATCATGTGTCCAGATTTAATAAACACACATCTTTCTGGTGTGTGTGTGTGTGTGTGTGTGTGTGTGTGTTTGTGCGCGTGCAAACACGAAGCAGTACAAGTGATAATGCTGCAGGATTTCATAATTGTATCCTTCTCAGCAGCAGCACTGCAGGTGCTGTCCATGTCCAACATGTGCGTAAGCCAGGTCCTTAGTCAACTTAAAGTTGTGCACATTTTTCTGCTACGTTTTCTTTTATAAATCCCCAAGTTAGCGTGGAAAGTTGCTTACGCAGTTTTCTGACGTGGTTTTGTGCGTAAGCAAGCTTGATAAATGAGGCTCCTGACCTGTATTGGGATGTTTACTGTGTGAAGGACTTGAGACGACTTGTCGTGATTTGGCACTTTATAACTAAAATTGAATTAAATAAATCAGAACTAGACAGGAAATGAGAGGCAACGCTACTCACTTCCACTTTGTTTGTAGAGTCACTAGGGATGGGTAGCAGCAGATCTCGCCAGATCACTTCATTCTCCTCATTGAAGCGGATCTTATCAGCGTTGCTGTGAATAAAGAAAAAAGTGTAAAAATAATTTAGCATTTCAAGTTTGACAGAGACCAGTCACTCGGGAGCGGACAGGCCCACCTGTGAAAGAAACTCAGGATTTCCTCCAAAGATGAATTGTGTGGCTGCCTGTGACTCCCGCTGATACACACCGCACATCTGAGCTGGAAGACGGGATCAGATAATCATCTTTACGTTGGTCCTTTTCATCGTTATTACATGTGTTATAAACTAATCTAACATTCACTCCGACTCAGCCAAGTTAAAACCTGAATAGACTACTGACCTTTATGACCTGAGAGTACACGGCCGTTCTGAATGTTATGCTGGTGCCCAAAGACAGACCCAACATGGCGATTCTGCTGCCAAGGATCTGGGGATGTTCAGCCAGGACTCTGTAGGCCATCTGCAACAGGAAAATATGTCAGAGCTGTGTAAAGGTGCAGTATGTAAAAATAAAGCAAGAATGACATCCTGTGGACCAATGTGGTTACTGCAGGCCTTTTTCTAAGCAAAGAGTGACTCTCACTGCCCTTCTGTGAGTTTGTGGTAGTTATGAGTTACAGATCAGCACCAGAAGAGAAACCACTAAACCTGATGGAGACCAGCCCCCCAGGACCAGGCAGCCCTGCATTAGACTGTTTGGTGATTCCTTCACTGCAGAATTCTGACATTTGCTCGTTTAATCTTGTGGGACAACATTCATCAGCCACGTCATGTGGTACACCTGTTCACCTGCTTGCCAAACTGATCACATGACACTAAATCAATGCATCTAGATCTAAGCAGAGAAGATGACCTGCATCAGTATGAACATCAAAATATTTCATAATATTTATATTTAACCATTACACGTGTTTATACAGAATGGTCTAATATGGAGCAGCTGTAGAAATGAAAATGTCGTGTTGAGGTCAGACCGGTTCAAAAGCAGCTCAGATCAGCTCTGGTTCTAACCAAGGTCTGCAGAAGCACACCACCTGCTGCAGATGGACTCCAGCAGCACAAGTTCATACCAGGTGTCTCTCCTGACAGCTTAGAGCAGGAAACTGAGGCTACAGAACATCTGACGAATGTTTCCAACACTTTCTTGAATCTAATGAAGGTGGTTCATTACTCTCAGGAAGTCCACAGAATGTAGTTAAAAGTCTTCAGCTTGTCCAAAATGCTGCAGCTAGAGTTCTGATAAGAATTAAAAAGAGAGATCATATCTCTCCTGTCTTAGCTTCCCTACATTGGCTACCTGTTAAATTCAGAATAGATTTTAAGATCCTCCTTCTCACATATAAAGCTCTTAATAATCAAACTCCATCATACTCCATCATAATCAGTGATCTGATTGTTCCATACGTTCCTAACCGAGCACTTCGCTCTCAGACTGCAGGTTTACTGGTGGTTCCCAGAATATCTAAAAATAGGATGGGAGGCAGATCTTTTAGTTATCAGGCTCCTCTCCTGTGGAACCAGCTCCCAGCTTTAGTCCGTGAGGCAGACACCTTGTCTACTTTTAAGACTAGGCTTAAAACATTTTTATTTGATAGGGCCTATGGTTAAAACCTGATGTTAGCCCATAGCCCAGATCTGGACAAGTGGGGGAGTAGAGGGAGGTGGAGTATACAGTCGATAAAGACAATTCTCCCTTGCCCTGCCTCCAACATGCCTCCATCTAAAAGGCTAGGTTATCCAGAGTTATCTCTGTAGTTATGCTGCTATAGGCTTAGACTGCTGGAGGACCTACTGACCACTTTCCACACTCGACTACTTTCTTCTACAATCTGCTCTTTAACTGTATTATTTCCAACTATTTCAGCTGTTAACTTTATTTTTTCTCTAAGCGTTTTTCTCCCCAGAAGAAGCTACAGTGATGTTCTGCTGAGCTGTGGTGGCCTCATGGAGGGGGCCAACGTCTAGCAGACTGCTGCTAATCACTTAAACATTCTCCCTCTCCTGATAATAACTTTTTACTCTCTTTGACATTGAATGTGCTACTACTAGTTTATCCGTTTAATTATAGATTCACTAGGATAAATACAATAACGTTTATCTCTCACCAAATAGAATATTTACTAAGAAATCACAATATAACTATAGACACATTACTTGTCTTTGTGTGTGTGTGTGTGTGTGTGTGTGTGTGTGTGTGTGTGTGTGTGTGTGTTACGGATTATCTTAATGACCTGACCTGTATTGGAATGTTTACTGTGTGACGGTCCTTGAGACGACTCTGGTCCTGATTTGGAGCTTTAGAAATAAACTGAATTGGTTCTAAAAACAGAAGAAGGTCCTTCCTGGTATCAGTGAGGTGGACCTAATAAAGTGTCTGGTGAGGACAGATAAGATGTCACATGATGTAAAAACTGGTTTTAAGCAGCTGCTTTATCAATGTGTAACAGACACAGTGATAACAGTGTGACCTTTGAAACCTCTTCTATCTCTGAAGGCTTTGATGTTGTGCCAATTACAATAATCCAGAAAAGGTCAAGGTAACCAAGTCGTTTTCAACAGGTCAACGTTTTAGGGATGCCATGTTTTATTCAACCTTTAAGACAGAATTGCTACAATAAAAGAACACACACACACACACACACTGCAGGGTAATCAGCTGTTACATTATTCCAACATGATGTCTTTACTAACGCGGACTGACTAAACTGTGTTAATGTTCAGAGAGGTGACCTTTGACCTATCTGCCCTTACCACCTCTGGTCTCATCGCTTCAACATTAATAGAGGACCACATGTATCAGTGAATTCTCCAAAAAGACCCTCAAAACAGAACGTAGGACATTTATGAGCTAGTTTACCTCAAAGTACTGGTTGGAAACCGTTTTCTTGGTTTCCATTGAGTATTTACAGGTGAGGTAATCCAGGGCCAACGATGCTATTCCATGGGATGCTAACAGAGCTGCTCGGTACTCCACCAATTGTCCTCCGCCCCCCCACAGGTCCAGGAGACCAGGGAAAGGACCAGGTCCTTCAGGAACCAAGGAAACAAAATCAGTCCTGGACTTTCACTGTAATGTTAGGCGTTTCAGAAACAGCTGCTCACCAGAGAAAAACACATTCAACACTTTCTGTTTGGTCACAAACATCTTGAAGCATAATGGTCGCTACAGTGGACAGGTACTCAAAATTGTTATTTATTTATTTTTGCTATTAAGCACAGCTGTTGAAGACTTTATTGCATTTGAGCCCCTCTATTTGGACTTCAGTAAGCCAAGCCAACATATTTCATGTTCACATTGCACTGTCCACTGAGGTGGACATGTAATAAGTTATTTGTAAATTAAATGTTACAGAAAACATGTAAATATGAAATTTGTTTCATTCACACCTAAAGATGAATGAAAAAAATTGTTAAAAAAATCATGTTGAAGATTTCATAATTCATGCATCAAAGGTTAAAGGAGGTTCATGGACCAGCAAAGCAGAACAAGCCACTACCTGCAGGTAAGAAGAGGGTTGCTGTTAGGCCGTACTCTGTGACGGGGATCCTTCGAACTCCAGGAGCCATGTACCAGCGCTCCACCACCACAGTGGCCAGCGGTGCCTGGTCCACGAAGCCATCTGTCTGGTGACCCTGGTACACTGAGATAGTCACCAGCATCGGAGTCTGGACGTTCTTCTTCCTCATCCTGAGAGAGGACCGGAAGGTCAGCTCTGGTCATCATGTCTGTAGCTACTGGTAGAACCTGAACAGCTGACTGACCTGAGCCCAGGTTTGCTGCCTGGAACCGGTTTGAGGCTCCACAGTAAACCCATGGCTTCGGTGCCAGTATATGTCCCACCCAGACTGGAATCCTCTGAAACTGCAGATCAGAAACTTTGCAGCATAAACTTTCTTCACAGATTAGTATTGTGTGTGCAGGTTCTGTACCATTCACTGTCCCCATGGCGTCAGCGATGTAATGAGCAAACGCCTGCCAGCTGTGTCCATCTTCACACTGATGGAGGGCATGGACAGTCAGCTGAGAACCGGGGACGGCGTTCTGGACCAAGACAACAAACCTCTCGTCCACGAGCGCTCTGGACGGCTGGGCTGAAAGCTTCACAAACAACGGGTTCCTCTCCATGGCCAGCTGTTAATCAGAATTACACAAACATCTGGACCGAGTCTGATGACCTTCTACAGTTCCTTCTACAGCTACGTGATCTAGGCTGCTGCTCTTATCTGATACTGCAGTTTTCTCAGACTGAACTTTTCTTTTGTCCCAGGTTTTATTTTTGTAAACCGTTCATAACTCCGTTATCGCGGTATTTCACTTCACATACAGCTGAGCCTCCGGGTTACTAGAAGCCCACGTGTGTACCTGTTCAGGTGTAACACCAGAGTTACAGGTGCCCACCTTAACACGCACACACACTCACACACCTGAGTACGTAACCTTCTACTTGCCTTACTTTACCGTTTTCTTCAGCGGAAGGCGTGATTCCCGTTAAAGTCCACCGGGCCTCTTCCCCGGTCTGTTTCCGGCTGTAGCCTGTCTACAGTATAGACATAAATATATAGATATAGATGTGTCTGTGGTCTACAGCACTGGATCAGACCTGCTCCCTTCTCCGAGGTTCTACCAGCTGATGTGCGCGCGCGACTCGCGCTAGAGTCAAGACTACACGCACGCAGACCTGTTGGCGTCGCATGGACGCGTCATTTGGAATTGTACCATGTCTAAGGAAGGTCCCGCCTTTCTCGCCTCTGATTGGCTAGAAGGGCTCTACCATATGCGTTTCTAGCATAGGTTTCTAGCCAGTTTTTTTTTTGGGTGGGGGGTGAAGCACCCCTAAAGTTTAATTATCTATTTATTTTTACTCTTTGTGGTGATTTTTAACACATTAGTAATATATAAAAACCATACAATAGGTCTAAATGTTATGTTTTAAAAACAAAAATACAGCAAATCTCCCCCGTCTCAAAAATGGTTCGATCCTGCTCACCTTCCCAGACTCTCAGGCTCTGAGCCTTCCTGATTGGCTTATTTGCTGCCGTTAGGGTGACCAGGTTCCTGCTTTCTGTGGGACATTCCTGAATCTTTTTTTTTTTTTTTTTTTTTTTGTACAAATTCACAAATACAGCGCATATCTTACAAATCAACAAATGGTAAATGGTAAATGGCCTGTATTTGATATAGCGCCTTCTAGAGTCCTAGAACCCCCCAAGGCGCTTTACAACACAATCAGTCATTCACCCATTCACACACACATTCACACACTGGTGGTGATGAGCTACGATGTAGCCACAGCTGCCCTGGGGCGCACTGACAGAGGTGAGGCTGCCGAGAACTGGCGCCACCAGTCCCTCCGACCACCACCAGCAGGCAACGTGGGTTAAGTGTCTTGCCCAAGGACACAACGACGAGCACTTAACTCCTGTGCCACCGTCGCCCCAATAAGATATGAATAAGTACAGGTGGTTAAGAACAAAGCAGCCATCAAACAAAAAACAACAGAAAAGAACAGTATAGGTCAGAAATAACATAAAACAGCATACAAGTACATTAAATGAACTTCCATATAAAGTAAACAAAGAAAACAAAACAAAAACAGAAGTACGCACATACAGTCTAGCTACATCAGTTGAAAAGTATTATCAAAAATTCAAGTAAGATCTGAGCTTTCTTTAATTTACACTTATCTACTGAAGCCTTCAATAGAAGGACTTCATTTTTAAAACCAGCAAAAATCTGAGTAATTTTTAAGAAGCGACATTTAAGAATGAAAAATTTTGCAACAATAAATAAGTTGTTAATCCCAAATTCTATTTTCTTATTTTCTCTTTGTAGGCCAAATCTAATTACTTGAAAGGTTAGAGAAGGGCAGTCAATATTTTTAGAGGTTAACCAGTGCTGAAAATCATTCCAAAAAGATCTGGAACTGTCACATCAATAAAAAAGGTGCTCTGTATTCTCAATATCAGTGTTGCAAAAAGTTCATGTGTTCGTATCTATATTGAATTTCTTATGAAGATAGTCCTTGGACGGGTGTATGGCTTTTAAAGTGATTTTATTTTGCTTTTGGTGGAATTGGAAAAGAAAGATATTTAATCAAAAACCTAAAATTCTAATCTTTAAACAAATATTTTCTTTTTAATTGAGAAGGAAAAAGTTGTTTGGTTAGAATTGTCCTTAAAAATTTATTATTGCATGACTTTCCTTTAAACTGTCGATCATCAATAATTAAGGACGGTTCACGAATTATAGAGGAAGAATAGGTTAAACTGGCTTTAGCCATCTGAATCATTGCAAGGGGAATGGCTTTCACAACTTTAATGAATTTACATCGGGTACATGATACGCCATAATTATCTATGAATTTATTATATGATAATACATTGCCATCATTGTCTAACAGGTGTAAAACTGTCCAAATTCCATGATCCATTCAGTCCTTATAAAAAATGGATTTTCTTTGTATCAATATACATCTGTTGTTCCAAATTGAATTTGTATGTGGAGAAAAAGTATGCTTGTAGATCATTTTCCAGTACTGGAGAACCTGTTTATGAAAATTAGATAATTTAATAGGTATTTTGGAAATTTCAAAGTCACACTTTAAGAGAAAGTCAATGCCACCAAGCTTCTCGAAAATTATTTTAGGGAAATAAGACCAAATACTGTTTGAGTTATTTATGAAAGACTGCAAGCATTTGAGTTTGATGGAACCATCCATTGCTTCAAAATCAATCGCATTCAAGCCTCCTTCTTCAAATGATTTCACTACATCATTCTTCCTAATATAATGTTGCTTGTTTTTCCAAATGTAATTAAAGTTAATTTGATTTCTATTATTGATTAGTCTATTGGAAACATATAAGCATTGTGATGGATAAATCAGTCGAGAGATACCTTCTGTTTTGGTAAGACGGAGAGGTCTCTTTGTAACCAGCTGATTAGGATCTTTTTAGATCTCTGGATAATATGCTCAAAATTTAGATTTTCTCTATTATTTGTATTCTTTGAGATTATAATACCCAAATATTTAATTTCAGTTTTAATAGCTATGTTAAGAGAGATACTGGGTTCACAATCATGAATATTTAATAATTCACATTTTCTGATATTCAGGTACAAACCAGAGGCCTTTGAAAATAGTGAAATTTCATTTAGTGCGAGAGGAACATGTGACGTGTTCTTTAAAAATAGTGTAGTATCATCTGCTAATTGACTTATGATCAATGGGGCACCCATCAAGTTCAGTGGTTGAATATTCGGATTGTGTTTCATGAAAATAGCTAAAAGTTTAGTTACAATAATGAAAAGTAACGGAGAAGCTGGACACCCCTGATGGATTCCTCGACTGACGTTAAATTGTTTAGACGTTCCAAAAGGTAAAGAAATAGAACTATTGATATCGGAGTATAACAAACAAATTAAATCTATGAATTTTTTACCAAAACCAAAATACTGTAAAGCTTTTAAAATAAAAGGATGTTCGACCGTATCAAATGCTTTATAAAAGTCTAAAAAATAATCACACCATCATCTTCAATTAAGTGATTATAATCCAGTAGATCTAAAACTAATCTAATATTGTTGTGGATAGAACGATTCTTAAGGAACCCAGATTGTGTTTCACTAATAATCTGATCTAAGCCGTCCTTTAATTTGTTTGCAATAACATGAGCAAGAATTTTATAATCTGTATTCAATAGAGTAATTGGTCGTAGATTATCGATTAATCTTTTATCTTTACCAGGCTTGGGAATAAGGGAAATAAGACCCTGTTTAATTGTTGTTGCTAATGTTTCATTACTAATGATTTCCCTAATAGTTTTGAAGAAAAATTATTTTATTTCTTTCCAGAAGAATTTATAAAAGATGGCAGTCAAGCCATCCTGACCTAGCCTGGCAAGCCAGACTAAATAAATGTATCATTCTTTGCAAAGCAAGAATTTGGTCTAGTTCACTAGGCTAATCCTGACCAGGAGCTTTGTCCATTTTCAGTTTGTTTAAGGCTTGATCTAAATCATCCAGTGATATGTCAGAATCACAAATTTCTCTGAATACAGAATCGATTTTTGGAATACAAGGTTCAGTCTGATCAAAAAAGGTAATTGAATCAGTAATTAAATATTTAGATGAGTATAAATTTGAATAAAACTTGTGTATTTCTTCTGCTATAGTCTTGCGATTTGTGCATTCTACCCCATTTACAAGTATGTATTAATAGATTTCTTCTCTTGCCTCCGTTTCTCCAGACTGTAGAAATATAAAGTACTTTTTTCACCTTCTTCTATCCATTTTGCACGAACTCTAATGTATGCTCCATGAGCCTTTTTCTTGTATAAATCATCTAATTGAGCTTGTAAAAACAAAAGGGATTTCTTATCAGCCTCTGACATGAACTGTTTTTTACAATAGTTATTTAAATTGTAAAGTAGTTTACTTTCAAACTCCTTTTGTTGTCTACTTTTCATTTTACTAAACGTAATTGAAAATTCTCTAACTTTAAACTTAAAAAATTCCCATCTGTGTGTAAGTACCAATTGTTCCATCATTGTAAATTTTATGGAGGAGGTCTTTAACCATCTTAACATACCCATCATCAATTAACAGATCTGCATTAAATTTCCAGTAATCCTTTTTAAACTGTGTTTTATTTTCAGGGTTAAGTTTAAGAGTAATAATACTATGATCTGTCAACGGGGCTGCTGAGATGGAAACATGTGAAACATATCTATATAGTACAGATGAGCCCAACCACAGATCTAATCTGGACATATTATTACCATTTGGTTTAATCCAAGAGAATTGAGTAACTCCAGGGTTTTTCTCTCTCCATATGTCACTTAAATTGTTTGAAGCAATGAATTTTGTTAGTTGGATTCCACTGATTAATACTGTATCTAGGAGGATTAAATTCATGAATTTATTCCATTCATTTGGAACAAGATTAAAATCACCGCCTAGTAACACATGGTCTGTGTGGTATAAAAGTTTATACTCGGAAAGGACATCTGTTATTTTTTCCAGCATGAGCTTATTTAGAGTTACAGAGGAGTACCCATAAACATTTACTAGGATCACAAATGAACCATCAATACTCAATACAACTGCCAGTCAGTGTCCTGAAATATCAGCCTGAAAAGTCACGACCTTCCCTGGACATCGGTAGAAACAGAGCGCTACTCCAGCAGAGTGGTTTGATCCGTGGCTGAAGAGGATTTTTTCACCCCACTAATGTGACCATAACGTGGTGTCAGCGTCACTTGAATGAGTTTCTTGTAGTAAGGCACAATTTTCTTTTAGCCCTTTGATAAACATAAACATTGCTTTTCTTTTAACATTATCCCTGAGACCTCTAACATTCAACCACACAAAGGATAAACACGTGCGTAGCATTAAAAATAAACGAAAATAGAGTTCAAAATATTGAGAATATCAAACTTGAAGATAAAAGAAAAATTTAGTTTACTTTCCTGTTTAGTGAAAGGTGAAAGAACAGTGGTGTCGGCACCTCCCATCCCATTCATAACTGTCAAAAGTACCTCTTTGAGTAGAATTCAGAAAACAAGTAAAGGTGAACACCTTTCAGCCGTCCGCCAGAACGCGACGGCCGTTCATATAACCGACAGCTCCCCTGTAGTAAGCCTTCTCCTCCGCATTTCTGGCTTGTAAAATTTTCGGCCAAACCTTCTCCCTCTCCATACGATCCTCCTTCGTCAAGTCCTCGGCAAAACTGATTTTTTCACTCGCACAAATCTGAGCCTTTTCGGACTTCTTCCATATTTCATCTCGGTGTAGGCGCTGTGTGAATTGAATTATGACTTGGCGATTTCTGCCCTCTTCTTTTCTTCCAATCCGGTGCACAGTGTCGACGATGTACTTCAAATGATCCGACCATTCTGGGGCAATCTTGGCGAGAATTTTGATCACCTCTTTTCTGATATCTTCGCCCATGCGTTCTTTCATTCCTTTAATCCTTAGATTCCACCTTCGTGAGTACCGGTCTCGTTCTCTTGCCTTTTCTTTCAGATCATCAACTTCTCTCCGTAAGGTTGAGGCTTCCTTCTCCAAGCCCGCAATTTTATGTTTACAATCACGGACTTCAGCTGCACTGAACTCAATGGACTCAGCAAGACTGGCAATCAACGAGGCATTCTCAGATAACTTGTTGTTAATGTCCGCCATTTTGTCATCTTGTTTATCAAATCGCACGTGGAGAGCTTGAATAGCTACCAGGATGTCACTCGCTGTGGGACTGGGTCTAGCAATCTTTCTCGGATGGTCACCTTTAGACGGAGTCGAGAGAAGCAAATCATTAATTTCCTCCAGATTTCTTTTTTCCCCGCCGCCACTTTCAAGCTCCATGTCTGAAAGGCAGTAGTCGTGGTCATCCGCAGCTGAAGCCAAATCTTGTATATTATCATTCTGGGAAGACTTGCTTTCCCTTTTGTCCTTCTGCTGTTCTTTTGGCATCTTTGTGAAGTCAGTGTAAGGTTTTTGAGGGAACAAAGCGTCAAAAAAGGAGGGATAAAAGATACCTTGCACCAGAGCTAAGTTAAGGGCAGCCACTTAGTTCGCCATCTTGCCGTCCCTCACACATTCCTGAATCTACATTATCAGGTCCTGCTAACTGAGACACCGTCTGTCTCCCATTTCGTCTTTGAATCTTGTAAAAACCGATTGTGAGGCAAAAAAAGCTGCTGTCAATCAAGGTAGGAGGCGGGGCTTAGGGTTAGTGTTAGACTGAAGGGTTAAAGCTGCTCAGGTTCCTCAGTATTCAGACAGGCTGCTGCTACAGAAGCCCAATAATACAACTCTTACACAGACACGGTGCTTGTGTTGTTTCATAGCCAAACCCTTTAGAACATCTGAAATAATCTAATTAAAGCCTTGATTATTTATTCTGAGATAAAAAGTCAGAACGTTCAGATTAAATGCAACTTTTGTCAAACATCTAAGTCACTGATTTTGTTTTCTCTTCCCTAAATATCTGCTGTAGGAGATAAAAACCTCCATTTCGTTTTTGTTCGTTTTTAAAATTATAAAGAAAAAGGACAAATTATCAAAAAAGTTTGGATTTATTTTCTATTTGTGGAAAATTTGGTGAAAATAAATCGATCTAAAAATATCACTGGTGATTTTAGTGACATTCAGTTGTGGAAATTCAGACAAAGCTAAAAAAAAACAAGCTTCAAATTCAAGTTTCCAGATATGAAAGGGCATCTCCAACCAGATTTCCACTCATGAGCATCTTTAATCTGCTCATGTTTTAAAACACCTGGCTGGACGAGTGGTTCCCAGCCTGGGGTTCGGGGTCCCCACAACATCTGTGGGGATCTCAGCACATACAAGCGCCTCGTGATGTTTATCTTGAAAGGCGCTTTACAAAAGATCGTTTCTTCCTCTTCTTCTACAGCATGCTTGTGCTGAGATGGTGAGGTTACCACACAGCCAAGGGATGCTCAAGGACAGAAGAGTGGGAACCACGGACCTGGACTCTCTAAACCTGGACCAGGTTCTGCAACAATGTTAGCAGAACCTATAGGTAACGTGATCAGTGAAAACAGTGTTTTTATTTTCTTTCATAAAAGTGAGAATGAAACTGTGTTAAATGTAGAAAATGTTGAATTTATCTGCCCGACCAGGCAGATCTCTGGGTTCTCAGCAGCCCTAAACCTCTGATGCGAGAATCGCCCCTGGGTTCTACTACGATTGCCTGTTTCTCTTAAACCTCTCAGGCTCAAAATAAGTTCTGATAAAAGGACGAACAACTAAGTCCTTCAGGGGTACTTCTGAGTTAAAAATGCTCATGAAATACACATGTGGAGCAACCAGGTAGGTAGGTTTTAACCAGTGGCGTGTCCAGATCTTTTAAAATGGGGTGGCCCAGGTGAGGCACAACTTTGTGCATGGTGGCGCCAATGGTTATGCTCTTTTGTTTTACACCCAAGCCTTTTGTGGACGATGAAAAGTCTTATTTTTTTTAAGTTTATTTTCATTTATTCACAAATTAAAACACAACACAAAACAGGTTTGCAAAAATAACAAATGAAAAAGGAACAGAAAGAAGCTAAACTTATGTTATCTGTCCCCATAACCAAAATAAATACAAATGACAACAAAGTTATTATTGTAAAGGTAAATTAGCGTGCTGGCACCTGGGGTGGCCAAGCAGATTACAAGGGTGGCATGTGCTACCCCAGGCCACTCCCTGGACACGCCCCTGGTTTTAACGTTGCAAACCTGCAATGCCTGCCTCCCGAGGGTTTAGAGCATTTTTTTTATCACCATTAATGACTGTCAGAAAAACGTAAATCTAAAAGTCTGTTAACTGTATTGTTGTAGAATTATTTCATTTCTCTAATTATAACAACTAAACCTGGGTCTGCCTGGACTGTCCTAGCAGAAATAACTTCTAGATGTTGTCCTTTGTTTCCATGCAGACCACACAGAACACACTCCTAACATTTGCTCTCTCACCTATTAATAGCTGTTCCTATTTTGAAATGCCAGATGAGGCTGACCCTCTCTGAAGAGCTGTGCCAGCTTCCTCCACCGTGGTTTCCAGACGTTTGGAAATGCTTCAGCCCCTCGTGTTACATCTAGCTTCCTGAGTGTGACTGCTGTTTGCGAGAAATGTCGGCTCAAAGCTCTGAATCACAGGAGAGAAGCAACTGTGGCCAAGTAGGTGAAAGGTACCAGCCATGTTTTGCTGCTGGTCTATCAGCCAAGTTAACCATAGTGATCGGAGACACGCAGTTCTCAGAAGAAAAGACGTTACTTGTCCGAAGTTGTGATTATTTCCAGGCTCTGTATCGCTCTGGAATGAAGGAATGCCAGCAGGAGAAAATCCACCTCCAGTGTGTCCGCGCTCGAGGATTCTTCATCGCCTTGGCGGTTGTGCGGGGTGAGATGCCAGCCATGGATGAAGAGGATATTGTTGATGCCATTGAATGTGCAGCGTTCTTACAGGTGACAGCACTCACAAAACATCTCATCAACTTACTCGATGGGGAGAACTGTCTGTTGATGTTTCACACTGCAGCAACATTTGGACTCATGGATCTCTATCACGCTGCTGCTCTGTTCATTCGAGACACGTACGGTGACCTAAAGGCAGAGGTCCAGACTGCCTTGTCCTCCGAGCTGGTCACATACATAGAGTCTTTACCGCCCAGCGTTTTTGTGGCTGTGGGGGCACACGTGAGCTGTGCTGAGGACAACAGCGTACACGCCGCTTCCAGGACTGTCTGTTACCTGGATGAAACTGGGAATAACTGGAACGTTCTGACAGAACTTCCTCTGGAGGCCAGCACTTCCATGGCTGGGGTTACAGTTCTAGACAACAAGCTGTACATCGTTGGAGGAGTCCATGGACCTGATAAAGAAGTGGTGGAGTCTTGCTTCTGCTTTAATGTTGAAGACAACAGCTGGACTAGGATTAACAGTCCAGCACAGCTGCGCTACAATCTAAGCCTTGTGGGAGTAGACAGCTGTCTTTATGCCATTGGAGGAGAATGTGAGCGAACAGTCATGTCAAGCGTGGAGGTGTACAACGTAAAGAGCGGTGGGTGGACCTTTGCTGCTCACCTGCCTCGACCAGCAGCAGGAGCAGCTTGTACCACAACCATGAGCAGGATCTTTGTGTGTTTATGGAAGCCAATGGAGACCACGGAGATCTATGAGTATGTTCCAAACAGAGATGAGTGGCATCTGATCACAACGTTGATCCGGCACCAGAGCTATGGTCACTGTCTGGTGGGCCATAGAGACAACCTGTATGTGATGAGGAACGGCCCGTCTGACGACTTTCTGAGATGTCTGATGGACTGCTACAACCTGAGTTCTGGTCAGTGGTCCGCCCTGCCAGGACATTTCACAAACAGCAAAGGCTCTCTGTTCACAGCCGTGGTAAGAGGAGATTCTGCGTTCACTCTGAACAGAAGCATGACTTTAGAGTACAAGGTTGATGGGAGGAACTGGAAGCCCAGGAGACAGATGAAGGGTTTTCCCAGAAGTGGCTCTGTGTGGACGTTCCTGCTCCGACTGCCAGCATGAATTCTCTCACGCCAACACCAAACTACATTTTTCTTTCTTGTTTTGTTGTTTGTTAAACGAGATGAAAATTCCTAATTTGTGGAAACAGGTAGCTGCTAAAAATATTTGAACAATTGTATCTAAGAACAATTTTTGCTTTGGAAACATTTTTTTTATTTTAGGTTGAGAGTGACGTGTAAAAATGTATAAATAGTTACATTTTAAATTTTACAACTCCGCAAATGCCTTTAAATACTCCTGAGTTGTTCATATTTAGCAAAGGATCCAAAACAATATAACTGAATTAAAGTTTGTTTTGTGTATTCATTCACCTGTTCATTCATTCATTTGCCACATTTGTTAGATCTTTTTAATGTAAACCATGCTTCTTTAGTTTGTTGCTTGTAGGAAACAAGGAAAAACCTCACGGAAGATGAATTGTTTAGTTTTCTGCTGCACAACAAGCAGGTGGTGGGTTTGAAAAGAGCTGGAGCCAGTCTGAGTTGTGCCGTGCATGAGCAGATACGCTGGTGTGCTCTCTCCCAGCTAAGTTATGCCTGCTAGCTTAACTAGTTTAATCAGCACTTATAAGCTAGAATTCTAAAAGTTGTTAGTTTTATTAGACAAAGTTAGGACTTATTTACTAAGTTGTTACTAAGTTATTTCCACTCCAAACATTAGAACAAATCCTAATGAATTACCAGTGATGGTCTTAATCATCTATGATGCCAACATTTCTAGTCATGCACACACCAGACACCATGTCTGCTCAGAGTCACCAGTGCTCTGGACCTTCCAGCTCTACTCCAGACCCATCTTCTGCTTGGTCAGAGGCAGTGGTACGTGGCCGCAGGAGAGCCCCTGTTGTTGTGGTTAATTCAGGGTGATGATCCAAACTGGGATCTATCAGGCAGAAATTATAAAAGTAAGCGTGGAGTTTGCATAATTGACTCTAGACACCCCCCCCCCCCCAGTCATTTGTGCACATTGTCTGATTTTTAAATAATTTATTTAAAAATTATGGCGTAAAATAAGTATTTAGGCAATAACAACAGTCCATCTGGATACTTTGTTATATAAAATTTGTTGGTAATGACAGAGGTCAGACATTTTCTGTAAGTCTTCACAAGTTTTTCACACACTGTTTCTAGTATTTCGGCCCTTTCCTCTATGCACATCTCTCTAGAGCAGTGATGTTTATCCATTTGGCTGACACTTTTATCCAAAGTGACGTACAATTGTTAACCTAGGGCATGTTGTGATCTGTGGGGGAAACCGGAGTGGGGCTGAGATCTAGGCACTGGCTGGGGCACTCCAGCACCATGAAATGCTTATTACGAAGCCACTCCTTCATTACCTGGGCGGTGTGTCTGGGATCATTGTCATGCTGAAAGCTCCAGCCACATTTCATCTTCAATGCTCTTGCTGATAGGTTTTCACTCAGAATCTGACGATACATGGCCCCGTTCATTTTTTCCTTTACATGGATCAGGCATCCTAGTCCCTTGCCCCAAAAGCATGATGTTTCCTTCTCATGCTTTACAGATGGTATGGTGTTCTTTGGAGTTCTTACTAAAAAACTTCCATTTTGGTTTCATCTGACCATATAACATTCTCCCAGCCTCTTCTGGATCATCCAAATGCTCTCTAGCAAACTTCAGACAGGCCTGAAGCAGGGGGACACCTCTGGCACTGCAGGATCTAAGTCCTTGGTGGTGTTGTGTGTTACTGATGGTAGCCAGCTCTCTGCAGGTCATTCACTAGGTCCTCCCACGTAATTCTGGGTTTTCTGCTCACCGTTGCGGTGAGATCTTGTGTGGAGCTCCTGATGGAAGGAGATTATTATTGGCCTTGTATGTCTTCCACATTCTAATCATTGCTCCTATAGTTGATTTCTACACTCCAAGCTGCCTAAGTATTGCAGATTCAGTCTTCCCAGCCTGGTGCAGGTCTACAACTTTGTTTCTGGTGTCCTTTGACAGGTCTTTGGCCTTGGCCTTATTGGAGTTTGGAGTGTGACTGAGGTTGTGGACAGGTATCTTTTATACCGATGACGACTTCAAACAGGTGCCATTGATACAGGCGATGAATAGAGGACAGAGGAGCCTCTTACAGAAGAAGATACAGGTCTGAGAGCCAGAAATGTTGCTTGTGTGTTGGAGACCAAACACCTTCTTTCCAGCATAATTTGCAAATAAATTCTTTAAAAATCAAACAATGTAATTTTCTTCATTTTGTTTCTCATAGCTGAGTTAATGTTGAGAATACTTTGTAAAAGTATTGAGTTACAGAATACTCAATACCTGTATTTTGTAATGTGTTCCATTACTTTGCCTAATCCTTGTACTGTAATCTAAAGAATACTTCCCGTTAAAAACGTGTTGGTGGCTACTCCTGCAGGAAAACAGAGGGCTGTACTGACCGGCAAAAAATAAATAAAACATTTAATTATTTTGTTACAGCGGTCCCTCGTTTATCTCGGGGATTACGTTCTACAAATGTCCCACAATCCTCCAAGTAGCAAGCTCTAACTTTTACCATTATTATAAATGTGTTAAGGCTGTAAAAGCCCACTACACACTTTGGCTGTGTCTCAATTCAGGGTCTGCATCCTTCAGAGGACCCAGCCCACCCCGCCGACGTGGGCTGGGTCCTCCGTCGGCCGGGTAGACGGATGTTAACGGCTGTGAATTCGGACAGGCCTAGCCTTCATGAATTCCCGCCTCTCCCTCGGTGAACGTTCCGTCGCCTAGCAACCGTGGAACCGCTGAGCAGAAGGGAGAAGGAACTTTAAACGATGGAGCTCGAAGTTTTATTTAGATCTTTAATCATTTCCTTGACTGTTGGAGAGCTAATTCGGAGAAAATACTTTCGACAAGCTGAGCCTGAGCAAAGATATGATAATAGTTTTTAATACTTTCTAAGGGTCTTAATCTGACCAAAACTGATTTATCACCTTTTAAGACTTTAAGACCCAGCGGGATACCCTCTAGTAAACAATTCTCATTTGTAAACCAAAATAAAATTCAAGAGTTTAATGCAGAACTGATTTTATTTAGATATTTCTTTTATATGTACATGTTTAATCTTCCTTAACCATAGAAAAGTAAAAAGCTGTCAAAGTTCTCCCTTCTCTCCTGTGCCCTCTGCTGCTCTGCCTCCCTCTGCAGCCTCATGTCCTCCCTGATCAGCTCCAGAAGCTGGTCATCGCTGTCACCTTCCCCTGGATGCCCATTTTCTCCAGAATAGTCTTAACAAACATGTAAGAAAAGAAACAGGAAGAGAAAAGATAGAGAAAAGAGGACAACGGGTTATTCCTTTCATGTTTTCACAGAAAAAACTAAACTCAAACGAGTTTTTAAAATATGAGATGTTATTGTACCTCCATGCCACAGCCGCCGAATACTTTGCTCCAGTGATCATGTGGTCCATCTCCGCCCTAAGCTTAATAAATTCCCTGGTTTTCTCTTGTACCTAAAATACAAACTTCTATTAAAATCGGGGGAAACGTAGCGGGAGAAGTACGACACCGAGCGGCCGAACATACGAGCCGAGACCGCAATACAAGCACTTTTACTGTAACATTTTTAACTAAAATAACGTTCATGTATAAAGCCCTTAACCTAACAGTTTTCAAGCTTATACTGACATTTATATGCGCAATCCTCTCCGACAGCTCCCGCTTCACTGTCCGCCATTGTTTTTAAGTTTGTCTGCCGGCCGGCCCGCAAGGCATCTTGGGAAATGCTACCTATTGAAGGATACACCGGACCCATCCTTCATTCAGGCGCAAAGAAGGCCGGATTCGTCGACCGCATTTGAAGGAGTCTTCGAATTGGTACAGGCCGAGTCGCGGCGCTGTGACGTAACCGGCCGACGAATCTGGCCAACGTAGGATGCAGACCCTGAATTGAGACACAGCCTTTATTCATAGGCATCAACATTTTCACACTTTTCTCTCATGTTGAAAGCTTCTTTCCGGAGTATGTCTCTTTTCCGATGGCACCATCTAGTGGCTGACAAGCATATCACACAACTAATCGGTAGCTCTGTTTTTTTTAGATGACGACTTCACGTTTCTGTTATAAATGTGCTTCTGTAGCCGACAAACAGAGCTAAAACACGTTGTTTTACGAGTATTATTCTCATGTCATGCTGTGTTTTCATATATTTATATTTTAGAGACTTTCCTGTCTGTAAAAAGTTCATCAACTCTGCATCAGCCGAGGTACTCCTTACATTTGAAGCAAGTAAGCAGTAGTCAAATGCTATTGGTTAGTTCTGGTGGGCGCTCAGTTTCCTGTTGCATGGACCTCTGCGGGAAAGGGGGCGTGGTAGCAAAAAAAAAGTCATATTGCTTATATTATATCACAGTACATGATGAGATAATCACTTTAACGGATTTCTGAAAAATCATACATCCTTTCTTAAAGGGGAAAACTCCGGAAAGCAGCTTTAAACACTCTTGAGTGCCCTAATCATGACACAGAGCATGCTTTAAAAAGGCAGGGAAAATTCCACTAAAGGTAAGAATTGTTTTCAGGTGTATTTATTAGTTTGCCCTGAAGTCATTTAGCAAAGTGAGCTGCCTGAATGCTTTAATGGACTGTCTGAATGCTTTTCCTCACAAAAACACAGCTAGAACACTGAACATTGATTATTTTACAAAACCCTTTTTAGGTTTAACAGATCTAGTTTACATCCATCTCACGGTAAGCTCACGAAGGCAAACGGGTCCGCGCGCATCAGTAAGTAATGTTATTTTTCTGTACCTTATTTTGCTGGATGAATGGGGGACATGCTGTCATTTAACTGCTTGGTCAAACATTTTAGTGGGTCTGCATAAGAACCTTGAGCGAGTGCCCGGCTGGCTGTTTGCATTTCCCTGGGCAGCCGGGACTCGTGGACCGCTCCGATGTGAGGCTGCAGTCATGCTGGTCACTTGTGGATCTCTGTGGGAAACCACAGAAACACTGCAGCTCTTTTAGTCAATGTTGCTTCACTTTTGAGTCACTCAACTGCACTTTTCTCGCTGATAGTTTGCTGGTTGAATGGGGTAACATTCTATATGTTTACAACAACACTGCTTGGTCATTTGGCTCCCGGCTCTGTACCAATACCCGGGATCTTTTACCGCAGTGGACCAGCAAAGCCCGACATCCTCGGTCAGCTTACAGTTTCGTTTCTAAGCAGGTCGGAGGTGCCTTTACTTTAAAGTGGCTATAACACGTATTTCTTGCTGAAAAGGCATGGAAAAGCTTCAGGTTAGCATGTAGCTAATGACCCGCTGATCTCCAACCATGGAGCATGAGCTGATGGTTAGCTAAGTTAGCTAGTAGCTACACTGGTTCATTTGTTCCAACCTAGGGTGACCATACATCCTCTTTTCCCTGGACATGTCCACTTTTCCCCGGACATGTCCACTTTTCACTCTCTGTCCGGAGTGACCGGGGGGGTGGGGTGGGGGGTGTCCTATTGCCCGGGTCACCCTCTGCCCCGTCTCTTCCCACCGACTCCTCCTTCCCGTGACCTCCTTCATGGTGAGACCTCACATCAGATGCACGCTCTGGTGGACTCGGGGGCCGCCGACAACTTCATGGATGTGGATGTGGCTAAATGCCTACGGATCCCCCTGACCCCCCTGGAAAAGGTTGTTCCGGTGACCTCAGTGGACGGCCGACCTCTCCAGCCCTATCCTGTCCAAGACCGAACCCAGTCACTCCAGATGATCACCCAAGGCCACCAGGAGACCCTCAATTTCCTGATCATCTCCGCTCCCTCCTCTCCTCTAATCCTAGGGTTCCCCTGGCTCCGTCTCCATGACCACCAGATTTCCTGGTCCCAGAACCGCCTGTTAGGCTGGGGGACCCAATGCCAGGCCCACCTCTCTTCTCCTCCACCCATGGCAGCCCCGCCATCTTCCAACGCCTCATTAATGATGTCCTCCGCTACATGCTGGGCCAGTGGGTGTTTGCCTACCTGGATGACATCCTCATTTATTCCAAGTCCGAGGCCGAACACCTCCACCATGTTCATGCCG